CTCTGGGGAGGTCCGCCTGGACCCGGAGCGGGAGAGCGCGGCGCGGGACATCTCACGGGTACGAGGGTTGTCGAAGTAAGCCGGTAGGTGTACTGTCGAGGGTGAAGGGGGGCGAGGGCTTCATGCAAGAGCTCGGAGAGACCGCATTGACGTGTCAGCCCGGAGAACCAGCCCAGTTGGCCCCAATGGTACCTGCTGCAAAGGGTTAGTAGTCGACGTTTGGTGTGTTGTGGTTAATCCGTAGTAAATCGAAACATCCAACTTCGAATTGCCGGTGGCTGGGCGCGGGTCACGTGACTGGGTTGTTGTTCTGGTTGCCCCGGGCAATCAACTTCCCTCCATCAACAATGATCATTAGACTCCCCACTCGATGATGTCGACGTTACTATCTAGTAGTACTTAATCCGAAGTAGTACAAACCCCTCCTTGCTTGCACTGGCAATGTCCACTTCTCTTGGGAAATTATTTCGCTTGTATCCTGGCTGACTCTGCATCTCACTGCAGGCAACCGTGCTCTCGCTTCGACGCGACGTTGACCCCCGGGGATTTTTAGCGCAAATCAGCTACTACGGTTAATGCTTCTGCTCCAATGGTAGCCCTTTATCTCCGTGCACTGATGTGCCATGGTACTTTCTGAATACTAGTAGTTGGCGTAAGCATTGGCTTTTATTAATTATTAATTAATTAATCAATCTTATTCTACTTTATTTTACTGCTACTTGTTACTACAGTTGTCTACTATCGTTGCAGTGAAGCTCGGATAGAGCGAAGATATATATATATATCCGAATGGAACATCACCTGTCAACTCCTGTTTCAGGAAGTGTAGCAATATCATCATGGGAATGACCGAACTAACGATAGTAACCATCTGAAGCGCATACTAATGAGTTATCAGTAGTACAACTAGTAAGAGTTTTAAGTAGCGATACTAAGCACACCACGCCAATACAATTGAAGCCAAATATCGGTATCGTGGTAGTAGTAGACATCTGGCAGCAGTACTACTAGCAGTAGTGTCCAATAATCAAACGGCAACGCGACTGTAAACGAAATACAACGCACAGACTAACAAGGATCGATGGCTATACAGTAAATATACCTACCCCCAGTGAGTTCCCTAAGAGGAAACGACGAGATAGGATGGGATAGCATGACCCGGCACAACATATGGAACTGGCTTGGCTTTATCGCTAATATTCATATCTACCGTGAAGTTTGTATAGCAGACGACGAACAAAGTGACTACAGAGAGGCACCGGTACTTTTTCATGGTAATTGCCTCCTGCCTTCTGAACGGTGAACTACTCCAGCTATCACACTTCACATGAACTGGGATTTCTAGTAGCTAGCTGTCTCATTCGTAAGCCTTGTGGGTTGAGGGCTTGATGCAGGTTTGCTGGACTGGAGCGTTTTCGTGAACAGGGGGTTCCTTCTTAAACCCCTGTTCCATACTTCGAGGGGGGTTTTGAGTAGCAAATTGGTACGGCGAAGGCATGAAGCAATTGCGATTGGATGTGACAACTTGTTAGTGTTAATATCTACTGCGCTGACTTCTTGATAACGCGCATCTCCTAATCAGTACGGTATATGCTTTCCCATTGACTTGGAAGTGCCCTGATGAGCCTGAAAACTGATAATGCGAAAAGTTGCTCAATGATAGGGTCCGGCCCCCAGTCCAGTCTTTGAGCCACAAATAGTTTGGATCTGTATCATGAGGGATTTTTTTGCCGATATGAGGATCCTATCAGCACAAATGCGTTTGGATGGGCATGCTAAACTGTAAGCCATGACTCGTAAGTTCAGTGGCGTAATCCCAGTCTCAAATTTTACAGATTGATGAACTGGCGGAGAATAGGAGGGAATTCTATGATATGGGATCAACTCTGCAAAAATAGAACGTGGAATAAGCTCGCTGGGGCAAAGATCCCAGTACAGGGAACTAGTCCAACCTTGAAACATGGAGCATGAACGATATTCCCGACTGTCAAATGTGCGTTTGGCCTCAGGTTTGACGTGACCTGCCACAGGCACCTGACATCACCTGATGGTCTGCAGCTTCCTAAAGAGGCATGCGCGGCCGAGTGTGTCTCCCGTCAGTGTTATCGTCATCGTCATCCGGCGTCGTCGTCGTCTTCCATTTCTACCTTGTCGTTGTACTTACTCCCTAGGGAGACCGAAGGTTTCAGGAGAAGAGTTCTTCCATGGATGTGGCCGAAGTTCGCCCCCTCCCCCCTTGCAGTAACTGATCGGATTGCCTCCGTTACCTTCCCCTCAGAGTGACTTGGCAGCTGCTCCCCGGTCAATGCCCCGGTGGCAGCAAATTCCAATTGCTATTCGCTCATTTTTAGGTGCAGGGTGTACCTGGCTATTTGCGGCGGTCAATCAATATTAATCAAATCAGGTAATCTTCCGAGTTTAGTTGACTCAAAACCCGGTCAACTTTAACTGGAAGTCCTAACTGGTTCATATTTTAGAGTTTCCACAGGAACGAACAAAGATCGAACCCATCTGCAAGTGATGAAACCACGAAGCCAGCATGCAGATGCCACTGTTCCAGAGTCAAACAAACCTGTGCCCACAACTACCCACCGTCCATTGCCTTGATTTCATCGTCTAGAGGGGAAGCCGTCGGCCCAGGACTGACCTTACTACTAGTGTTCGGTTAAAGCGGGCAGCCGGCAGCTCAGGCCATTGAGAATTTGGGGAGAAAGAGGGGGGTGGAGCCTCAGGAACCAAAGGTACGAGGCCTTCGGGTCAGGAACGCCTGTTCGGGCAACGATTGCCCTCCGAAGGCCTTCTTGCCATTCATTACCTTTGCCAGTGTCGACTAGCCAGGGCTTAATATTGGTATTGGAGAGCAGTCTAGACTGCTGCATGAGAAAGTCAACCGACATCTTAGGACGCGCTGTGTTGTGCAGCTTGTCGTTTGCTTGGATGTTCCCTAGGCTTCTCTGCCTCTCAGGCTGAGGGCGCTTTACCGCAAGTATCCTTGCCGGCCGCGCTAAGGCAGTACCTACTGCATCCGCAGCTTCCTGTCCCTGACTAAAAAGCGATGCTAATGCACTAATTTAGCGTGCAAAGGCTGCATCCACCAGGCCACATTCGGTTGTGCACAGCACAGAATGGATGTGCTCCTGTTCCTCTGCTTATTGTTGTCCCCTGCACACTTCAGTCCACGAGTAGTCTCCCGGAACTCTTTTAGGTTAGTGAACCCCAGCTGGCTTGTTTGAAGTGTGAGTTTTTCTGCCTCCTTGGGGGAAATTAATTTTCTATATTTGGAGTGGGTAGAGCATGACACTGTCCAGCACTCTCACGGATTTTTTAATCAATGTTTTGATTATACTACCAGTCCCTCAAGACTGTAGTGCGCAGATAAGATCTGTGCTCCTTTCAATTATTGATTGCACTATCTACTTCGTACTGTGGAATGGATTTCTTGTCCGGGGGAGAGTGGGCGGCCCCCCCCTCTCTCTATTAGTATTCAGAGTTCACTTGTCTCTCGCATTTGTCATTGCTTTTTCCTTTGTCTTTGAAGCCTAACGTTCCGGAACTGGATTTATGCACCGCTCCGGAAATTAGTTGATCAGTCAACAACGCACATATGTCACAAAAATCTTAACGCCTTTTTTTTTGTTGCTTTTCCTAGTTTTTCTTCCTTTGCCTTCCCCTCCTCTGCCCACCATACCTGTCTTTTCTCCCTCCTAACCACACCGGGATAGCGTCGGTTAGGCTCCGTACTCCGTATTTGACTATTTTTTCTCTTAGTTGTTTTATCACATTTTGAAAGGGGATCTAAGCAACTCTAAAGTTTCATCTTGACTTCATCCGTGGAAGAAGGTGGAACCGGGCTCACAATTCAGGGACAAAACACCGGCCGTGTTGATCGCCCATGGGTCGGCCTCGACGGCTGGCCGGCACACTGGATTATCCTCTTGTTTACCTGATGAGGGTCTGCGCAGTCTGACTGTCATTGGCCCGCCATCCGATTACCACAGCCAACATCCCCCCCTCAACTCGCTCTTCTGGTTGGCATTCCGTCGCTGACCACCCCACGGGTGACCCGACGATGATGTTGATGATAATGATGTTGCTCATACCGTGCTGCCGATGCCCATTGTACTGTACCTTCCCGCAGCAGTGTTGCCCACCCACACGCTCACACCGAGGCATCAATGGGGGTTTACTTGCTTTTTTCTCCCGTCGTGGATGCTAGCATTAGTGTCTTCATGTCGGAAGCATGGTTGATTGATACTAGTGTACTTGCTCACTTACTCCCTGACAATGGAGCCTCTCACCAGTGCTGAATTGAGAGCTCCAATTGGTGGCGGGCCTGGTCAGTGGCTCACAGCCTAGGCTCTTCCCCCTGCTTACAGCGCCTTTGCTTGACAAAATATTACTACTATGGACGGAAAAGGCCAGAGGTGACCCGCAAAAAGCTCGGAACTAATACCTTCTCAGTCCAGGATACCCCGTTCCCCGAAATAGTATTCTCGTTCTGCTTAGTTTGTTTCGGATGAGCCCACCTACAACGGTAGTCCGCTCTGGTTTGCTTCCTAGTTTCCACTGGCACCCGGCGCATCCACTTGGCTAGCTTGGCCTCGAAGATCCGGGTCCCTCGATCACAGAGGACCCAACATGCTCTCAGCCGGGTGTGCAGCTCCATTCGTGGGTTCCAGACTTGGGGGAGGGTTCCATCGCCCGATCCCGCTGGCACGGGAGGAAATCCCTCTCAGGGGTATATATACCTCCAGGATGATCACCTCGTTCCATGAACATCAAGCCCTTCGTCAGTCACTTTGTTTTGTCTTGTGTTTTTGGGTTCTGTCTTTCCTTACCCGACCCTCATTTTCACCAGTCTGTCGTTAACCAATTAGGCTGCCTCGAGCCAGCCGTTCTTCCATTTTCATACTCTTTTGGATTCTTTTGACAGGTTCATTTCAGACACTCGCTGAGGTCCTACCCACTCTTTATCATACATTCTTTGCCCTTTCGGCACAATGCGTTCCGACAAGCTTCTCGTGCTCGCCGGTCTGGCGAGCTATGCTCTCGCTCTCCCCACGAAGGACTTGGACCCCCGTACCTTCGGCCTCGTCGCCGAGATTATCACTGACCTTGGTGAGGACCTGACCGGTTTCATCGAGGCCCTCCTTGGCGGCGGTGTCAAGAGCTCCGCAAGCCTCCTCACTGGTATCAGCGCTCAGGCAGCTGCTGTCCTTGAAGGTGGTGCTCTGGGTTGCACTGCCGGCAAGATCGATGCCTCCGCTCGTGCGGAGCTGGCTGCGTGGATCCGTGCTCATGCCAGCTTCGATGCCTCCCTGAAGTCGTCGCTGTTGGCCTGGTGTGAGGGTGAGGACTCTGCCACTTTGTCCGTCGATGTCCGTGCTGGTCTCGCTCTGTTCATCCCCACCTGCGCCGAGGTCGCTGCCAAGGGCGACATTTACGTGACTGTCGACGGTATCTTCTCTGTTTCCGACCTCGAGGCCGCTGTTGTCCTCAGCTCTTCTTTCCAGTCTACTCTGTCTACTTTCATTTCCGGATCCGTTGGTGCTGAATTGGATGTCGACATCAAGGCTGGTCTTTCCCTCTGTGCTGGTGGTGGTGTCGTCGCCGACCTTGCTTCGGATATCGAGGCCGCTCTGAAGGTCTGGCTTAACGGCTCCGAGTGCTCTCTGAGCGCCTCCCTCAAGGCTGCTGTCCTTGCTTGGTTGGAGGGCAAGGCTAGCGTGTCTGGCGTTGTTACCATTGGCACTGTGCCCACTGCTGGTCTCACCACTGTCTCCGTCGGTGCCGCCATCAACGCCCTTGTCGAAACCTCCGGTGCCCTCACCGCTAGCGCCCAGGCCTACCTCTCTGCCTTCCTCAAGTCCTCCCTCGCCACCGACATTGAGGCCGATGTTAAGGTCGTTCTAGAGGCCTGTATCTCGGGCAAGCTTGCCACTTCCGTCAGCGCCGATGCCCGTGCTGCCCTGGCAGTCTGGCTCTCTGGCGATAGCTGCCAGCTGGGCGTCGAGCTCAAGGCCGTTCTCTACTTCTGGCTTTCCTTTGCCCTGAGCGGCGACGTCACCGTTGACCTGTCCACCGACATTATTACCGAACTCGAGACCTTCATCACCGGTACCATCGACACTCTCATCGGTGTCAACATTAGCGGCGTGCTCTCCCTGCTGCTGTCTGGCGAGAGCCTGGCCTCCCTTTCCCTGGAGTCTCGTGCTGAGCTGTCTGCTGTCATCGGTGGCTGCGCTGGTGTTGATATCAGCTCCTCCATTGAGATCATTGTCATTGAATGGCTTACCGGCTGCAGCATCCCCGGCGGTCCTTCTATCGGCTCTGGCTCCGGCTCCGGCTCCGGATCTTCCTCCAAGCTCATCCCCAGCGCCTCGAGCGTTCCCGCCGTCGTTTCGACCCCCGCTGCCAGCGTTCCCGCTGTTCCCACCGTCTCCGTTCCCACTGGTGGTTCCAGCCCCAGCAAGCCTGCCCAGTCTGGTGCCCCCGGATCTCCCAGCGGTGTCAGTCCTTCCGGTATTCCTTCGGTTCCTTCCTCCCCGGCTCAGTCTGGTGCTCCTGGTGCTCCCTCTGGCGGTGTCCCCGCTCCCAGCGGTGGCGTCGTGCCCTCGTCTCCTGCCCAGTCTGGTGCTCCCGGTGCCCCTAGCGGCGGTGTTGTCCCCACTACCTCTGTTCCGGAAGGCGTCAGTGCTGGTGCCTCCACTACCCCCTGCGACACAATCACCGGCGAGACTGTTGTTCCCGTTGCTACTATGACCGAGGGCGGTTCTGCTCCTAGCGCTCCCGCCCAGTCTGGTGCCCCTAGCGGTACCCCCATCGTCGGTGGTGGTGCTGGTGGTTCTACTGGTGGTTCTACTGGCGGCTCCGGCTCCGGCTCTGGCTCCGGCTCCGGCTCTGGCTCTGGCTCTGGCTCTGGCTCTGGCTCTGGCTCTGGCTCTGGCTCTGGCTCTGGCTCTGGCTCTGGCTCTGGCTCTGGCTCTGGCTC